GAGAAAGCGCTACATAGATTCTCTCCGCTTCATTGATCCTGAAAGCAGTTTGCCGGCGCTCTTTGCCCTCTCCAGTCGCTTCGCTGTCAGAACTTGTTGACAGACCATGCACATGTTCCAGATTTTTCCGCCATTTTCCACATTGAATTGAAGCAAGCAGGGCATTGGGCTGTAGTTCTTCTTCAAAGTCTTGAATGTTGAGCCGCAAGCTCATGACAACCCAAGGTTCCGCTGGATTGCGTGTCAAGATCCCAGTGCCACAGCACCTAAACCAATGCGTCCCCAAAAATTCTTCCTCGTGAAATCTTCCAAGCACCAGCAACAATATTATATGTGGCTGCAGTTTTGGACCTTCGCTCAGGCGCAGCAAGAGTTGGTCTCAAGTCTGGAACTGTCAGGTACCATGGAACTGTGGTGACTGTCATACTGTTTGCCACGGATGTTGACCTCCTGGAGAGTTCTTCTCAACAAAGTTTGTTCTGCCGTGGCTTCGCAAACTGTGTTTGTGGCGTCCGAGATGTCGCCAGAGGAGGCTCGCTCTCTGAGCGTCTTTCGATGCCAGCAACGCTTGGCAAGTCACACTTGACTCCAAATGGAGCCTACAGAAGAATGCCTCATCACATGCAGGATTATGCACGAAAGGTAATGCTTTGTATAGGCCCACAGAAGTGCATTGCAGAGAAGTGCGCTGTAACCAGGCTGTGCTAGCTGGTGCTCCCTGAGAGCATTCCGTGGTGGGTTTGGAGGGCAAGAGAGCTGTGGCTGGAGTTCAGTTGTCAATGCTTCTGCACCCTGACTACAGTTTTACATTCAGTCCCTTTGGTGTCACGGACTGGCAAGCAGCGTGCTGCAACAAAATCTTGCCCCAAGCTGCGTGTCTTCTGCCCAAGAATGCAGAACCGCTCTGAACGGTATCGATGTGCTTTTCCCCACACATGCCTTAGCGGTGACTTCTAAAAAGAATCCTGAGGAGAGGCGCTGGCTAGTCTGCATGAAGCTTGCTCTGAACCCGACAAAACATCTATGCGCATTTCGGTACACAAGACTAAACTGGTAACCCCAAAGCCCCTGCTTGGTTGGTACCAGAAGATAGGTTCAGGGCGTTCTGTTGGATTGTAGCCATGCTTGATGATTTCTATGACATGCATAGCCTGCGATTCCATGCATTTGAACATGGGCGAGACCAAATGAGGCTTGCTCTTTGAGTGTCTTCGCCAGCAACGCTTGGCAAGTCACACTTGACTCCAAATGGAGCCTACAGAAGAATGCCTCATCACATGCAGGATTATGCACGAAAGGTAATGCTTTGTATAGGCCCACAGAAGTGCATTGCAGAGAAGTGCGCTGTAACCAGGCTGTGCTAGCTGGTGCTCCCTGAGAGCATTCTGTGTTGGGTTTGGAGGGAAAGAGGGCTGTGGCTGGAGTTCAGCGTTGTCAATGCTTCTGCACCCTGCAACTACAGTTTTACATTCAGTCCCTTTGATGTCACGGACTGGCAAACAGCGTGCTGCAACAAAATCTTGCCCAAGCTTTGTGTCTTCTGCCCAAGAATGCAGAACCGCTCTGAAACGGATAGATATGTTTTTTCCCACACATGCCTTAGCGGTGACTTCTAAAATGAGTATTCAGATAAGATCTTACTCTTTTCATGCAGATTCTGGATTCCAGTGGGTGTGTTTTGGGTCTATCCGCTTTGCGGAGTTAATAGTCCATGAGCGGCAAGTGCAGGCAACAATACACTTCTGCCCCTTCTCAGAGGGCAGAACTTGCCCAACAAACATGTTTGAACTGTTCCTCAGATATGCCAAACTCATGATGATGGGCACCTGCGATTGAAGTGCGGCAACTGGTGCAGCCTTCAAATCAGTTCCAGGATCAGAGAAAGAGGCGCTGACTGCGTGCCTAGACAGTTTTCATGAAGCTTGCTCTGAACCCAACGCCAACAACACATCTATGTGCATCTGGGTTGATAGACACACCACTAAATTGCTAAAGGCTAGTGAGACCCCAAAGCTCCTACTTGGTTGGTACCAGAAGATAGGTTCAGGGTTTTCTGTTGGATTGTAGCCATTCTTGATGATTTTTATCACATGCGCAGACTGCGATTCCATGCCCTTGAACATGGGCGAGACAAAATGAGGATTGATTGCTCTCTGAGTGTCTTCCGATGCCAGCAACGCTTGGCAAGTCACACTTGACTCCGAATGGAGCCTGCAGAAGAATGCCTCATCACATGCAGGATTATGCGCGAAAGGTAATGTTTTGTAGAGGCCCACAGAAGTGCATTGCAGAGAAGTGCACTGTAACTAGGCTGTGCTAGCTGGTGCTCCCTGAGAGCATTCTGTGTTGGGTTTGGAGGGCAAGAGAGCCGTGGCTGGAGTTCAGCATTGTCAATGCTTCTGCACCCTGCAACTACAGTTTTACATTCAGTCCCTTTGATGTCACGGACTGGCAAACAGCGTGCTGCAACAAAATCTTGCCCCAAGCTTTGTGTCTTCTGCCCAAGAATGCAGAACCGCTCTGAAATGGATAGATATGTTTTTTCCCACACATGCCTTAGCGGTGACTCCTAAAATGAGTACTCAGATAAGATCTTACTCTTTTCATGCAGATTCTGGATTCCAGTGGGTGTGTTTTGGGTCTATCCGCTTTGCGGAGTTAATAGTCCATGAGCGGCAAGTGCAGGCAACAATACACTTCTGCCCTTTCCCAGAGGGCAGAACTTGCTCAACAAACATGTTTGAACTGTTCCTGAGATATGCCAAACTCATGATGATGGGCACCTGCGATTGAAGTGCGGCAACTGGTGCAGCCTTCAAATCAGTTCCAGGATCAGAGAAAGAGGCGCTGGCTGCGTGACGAGACAGAGGGCATGAAGCTTGCTCTGAACCCGACAACACATCTATGTGCATCTGGGTTGAAGGACACAAGACTAAATTGCGACAGGCTAGCAAGACCCCAAAGCTCCTGCTTGGTTGGCACCAGAAGATAGGTTCATGGCGTTCTGTTGGATTGTAGCCATTCTTGCTGATTTCTATGACATGCACAGACTGCGATTCCATGCCTTTGAACATGGGCGAGACCAAATGAGGCTTGCTCTTTGAGTGTCTTCGCCAGCAACGCTTGGCAAGTCATACTTGACTCCAATGGAGCCTGCAGAAGAATGCCTCATCACATGCAGGATTATGCACGAAAGGCAATGTTTTGCAGAGGCCCACAGAAGTGCATTGCAGAGAAGTGCACTGTAACTAGGCTGTGCTAGCTGGTGCTCCCTGAGAGCATTCTGTGTTGGGTTTGGAGGGCAAGAGAGCCGTGGCTGGAGTTCAGCATTGTCAATGCTTCTGCACCCTGCAACTACAGTTTTACATTCAGTCCCTTTGATGTCACGGACTGGCAAACAGCGTGCTGCAACAAAATCTTGCCAAAGCTTTGTGTCTTCTGCCCAAGAATGCAGAACCGCTCTGAAACGGATAGATATGTTTTTCCCACACATGCCTTAGCGGTGACTCCTAAAATGAGTACTCAGATAAGATCTTGCTCTTTTCATGCAGATTCTGGATTCCAGTGGGTGTGTTTTGGGTCTATCCGCTTTGCGGAGTTAATAGTCCATGAGCGGCAAGTGCAGGCAACAATACACTTCTGCCCCTTCTCAGAGGGCAGAACTTGCCCAACAAACATGTTTGAACTGTTCCTCAGATATGCCAAACTCATGATGATGGGCACCTGCGATTGAAGTGCGGCAACTGGTGCAGCCTTCAAATCATTTCCAGGATCAGAGAAAGAGGCGCTGACTGCGTGCCTAGACAGTTTTCATGAAGCTTGCTCTGAACCCAACAACACATCTATGTGCATCTGGGTTGATAGACACACCACTAAATTGCTAAAGGCTAGTGAGACCCCAAAGCTCCTACTTGGTTGGTACCAGAAGATAGGTTCAGGGTTTTCTGTTGGATTGTAGCCATTCTTGATGATTTTTATCACATGCGCAGACTGCGATTCCATGCCCTTGAACATGGGCGAGACAAAATGAGGATTGATTGCTCTCTGAGTGGCTTCCGATGCCAGCAACGCTTGGCAAGTCACACTTGACTCCGAATGGAGCCTGCAGAAGAATGCCTCATCACATGCAGGATTATGCACGAAAGGTAATGTTTTGTAGAGGCCCACAGAAGTGCATTGCAGAGAAGTGCACTGTAACTAGGCTGTGCTAGCTGGTGCTCCCTGAGAGCATTCTGTGTTGGGTTTGGAGGGCAAGAGAGCCGTGGCTGGAGTTCAGCAGTGTCAATGCTTCTGCACCCTGCAACTACAGTTTTACATTCAGTCCCTTTGATGTCACGGACTGGCAAACAGCGTGCTGCAACAAAATCTTGCCCCAAGCTTTGTGTCTTCTGCCCAAGAATGCAGAACCGCTCTGAAATGGATAGATATGTTTTTTCCCACACATGCCTTAGCGGTGACTCCTAAAACCACTTAGTGGGTGCATATAACCACGCAATCGTTGAACGCCGGGATCTGTCACCCCCTGAATGCTTAGAAGGGCTCAGGCCATTTCGCTGGCACCAGCGACTGCCTGGAAAGGCCAAGGTTCTTAGGAAACCTCTGATACGCTAGAGCAAGATGTATTTACAGGAGTTCGACAAGAACACAGAAAAAGTTGAAATGGAATTGCACATGGGATTGTGGGAGCTAGGTATGGAGAATTGTGGTGGATTGTAGCCTTTCTTGAGATTTCCGTCCTGTTTTTCTGCCACATCCCAAGATTGCGGAAGATTGGCCCAGGGACAGAACAGCATGTAAGTTGTTCAACGAGTGCAGGTAGTAAAGCATCCACCGGTGGAGTAAAAAGCATAGCGTGCGATTCTCATTCTATGCCCTTGAAAGCAGGTAAAAACAGAAGGGGCTCGCTCTCTGAGCGTCCTCCGAAGCCAGCACAGCTTTACAAGTCATTCTCGACTCCAGTTGGGGCCTACGGGCGAGTGGCTGATCATGCACGAAAGGCCATGTTTTGCAGGGGCCCACAGAAGTGCATTGCAGAGAAGCGCATCGAAGCAAAGTTGCGGCTAGCTGGTGCTCCTTGAAAGCATGTTGTGTTGGGTTTGGATGGCAAGAGAGTTGTGGCAGGAGATCAGCGTTGCAAACTCTTCTGCTCTCTGCTGCGCTTCTGCAGGAGAATGTCCCTTTGGTGTCATTCTTGGCCTTGCGTTCTGCGCTGAAGAATACATTGATTCGTGAAATGAGTATTCAGGCAAGATCTTGCACGGTTGAAGCCGATTCTGGCTCCCAGTCTGTGCTATTTGAAGAGTCTGTCCAGTCCGACTTGATAGTCCTTGAGAGGCAAGTGCAGGCAACAACACACTTCTGCTCCTTCCTAGACGGCGGAGGAACTTGCCACAGAAACATTGGGTTTTATTTGGCAGATATCCCTGACTCATGATGATGGGCACCTGTGCTTGACGTGCTACAGAAACCGCAGCGAATCATTTCTGGGCAAGTGAAACAGGCAAGGGCGTGACAAGACATGGTTGGCATGAAGATTGCTCTAGAGCCAGCCATCCCTCAATGTGCACGTGCGCACAGGTCCCAAGTTCTCACTTAGCGCCAGCAGATAGGTACAGTGCATTGTGGGGGATTGTAGCCTTTCTTGAGATTTCCGTCCTGTTTTTCTGCCACATCCCAAGATTGCGGAAGATTGGCCCAGGGACAGAACAGCATGTAAGTTGTTCAACGAGTGGTAGGTAGTAAAGCATCCACCGGCGGAGAAAAAAGGTAAAGCGTGCGATTCTCATTCTATGCCCTTGAAAGCAGGTAAAAACAGAAGGGGCTCGCTCTCTGAGCGTCCTCCGAAGCCAGCACCGCTTTACAAGTCATTCTCGACTCCAGTTGGGGCCTACGGGCGAGTGGCTGATCATGCACGAAAGGCCATGTTTTGCAGGGGCCCACAGAAGCGCATTGCAGAGAAGCGCATCGAAGCAAAGTTGCGGCTAGCTGGTGCTCCTTGAAAGCATGTTGTGTTGGGTTTGGATGGCAAGAGAGTTGTGGCAGGAGATCAGCGTTGCAAACTCTTCTGCTCTCTGCTGCGCTTCTGCAGGAGAATGTCCCTTTGGTGTCATTCTTGGCCTTGCGTTCTGCGCTGAAGAATACATTGATTCGTGAAATGAGTATTCAGGCAAGATCTTGCACGGTTGAAGCCGATTCTGGCTCCCAGTCTGTGCTATTTGAAGAGTCTGTCCAGTCCGACTTGATAGTCCTTGAGAGGCAAGTGCAGGCAACAACACACTTCTGCTCCTTCCTAGACGGCGGAGGAACTTGCCACAGAAACATTGGGTTTTATTTGGCAGATATCCCTGACTCATGATGATGGGCACCTGTGCTTGACGTGCTACAGAAACCGCAGCGAATCATTTCTGGGCAAGTGAAACAGGCAAGGGCGTGACAAGACATGGTTGGCACGAAGATTGCTCTAGAGCCAGCCATCCCTCAATGTGCACGTGCGCACAGGTCCCAAGTTCTCACTTAGCGCCAGCAGATAGGTACAGTGCATTGTGGGGGATTGTAGCCTTTCTTGGGGAATCATATGCTGATTTTTGGGTCTGTTCCAAGATAGCCGACATATTGGCCCAAGGACAGAAAGACAGCATGTAAGTTGTTCAACGAGTGCTAGGTAGTAAAGCATCCACCGGCGAAGTAAAAAGCATAGCGTGCGATTCTCATTCTATGCCCTTGAAAGCAGGTAAAAACAGTAGAGGCTATGGCTGATCATGCATGAAAGGCCATGTTTTGCAGGGGCCCACAGAAGTGCATTGCAGAGAAGCGCATCGAAGCAAAGTTGCGGCTAGCTGGTGCTCCTTGAAAGCATGTTGTGTTGGGTTTGGAGGGGAAGAGAGTTGTGGAAGAAGATCAGCGTTGCAAACTCTTCTACTCTCTGCTGCGCTTCTGCACGAGAAACACCCTCTGATATCCTGGAGTGAGGTCAGATCAACGTCTCGCGTTTTTTCTTGCAAGATGCTGACCCCAGTACTGCTGGCAAAAATTTCAGTGACTGCGCGCTGCCATGCGAAACTAAAGGGTTCTTCTTTGTGCAACTAGATAGATATGGTGCAATGTTTTGGATTGTAGATGTTGTCGCCTTGCCTGAGCTTCCTGTCATTTTTTTTGTTTCGCCCCGAGATGCAGATACAGGATCTGAAGGGCAGAACGACCGCTTGTTGATACTTCATCGAGTGCTTAAAGGTTCCACAGGTTCCAGGAATTGTGTAGAGTGCCTTTCGAAGCCTTCGAAAACAGGAGAGATCAAAGTAGGTGTGTTCTAGCCTACAAGCACATGCCTATCCACAAGCAGGATCATGCACGAAAGGCCATATTTTGCAGAGGCCGACTTCGCTTTGAAGATGCTGATGGAAGTGCATTGCGGAGAAGTGCGTTGTAACCAGGCGGCAGCTGGCTAGTGCTTCTTGAAAGCATTCTGTGTTGGGTGGCGAGGGCAAAAGATCTGTGGCAGAAAATCAGCGTTGCCAACTCCTCTGTACCCTGCTCTTGCCCAGGCAAAGACACCTTTGCTATCATTTTGTAGTCTAAGCTTTACGTGTTTGGCAGAAGAACCTATTATATTGCCTGCCTGAGTCAGATGTTTCCCCAATACATGAATGGGCGGTTCATAAAATAAGGGTTGAGGGAAGGTCTTGCATCCTCAATGTAGACCCTAGCTTTCAGCTTCTGAATTTTGAAGGGTCCAGCCATTGCAGAGAGTTGATAATCCTTGACAGGAAGGTGCTGGGAACAAAAACCTTTTCATTTTTGGATTGTCGATTTGCACAGAAGATGCATTTCAACCGTTTCTCACATGTCCAAATGATTGCGTTTTAAAAGTGATGCGCACCTGCCGTTGGTTTGTGCATCAAATGGAGTGTCCAATTTGTTCAACCCCTGTGACGAGAACAGCCGCTCTGTGACAAGACATTGGTGGATATGAGTGGAGTGCTAAAGCACTTGCGGGTCAACGTCTTGCGTTTTTCTTGCAAGATGCTGACCCCAGTACTGCTGTCAAATATTTCAATGACTGTGCGCTGCCATGCGAAACTAAAGGGTTCTTCTTTGTGCAACTAGATAGATATGGTGCAATGTTTTGGATTGTAGATGTTGTCGCCTTGCTCTAGATTCCTGTCATGTTTTTTGGGTTCGTCCCGAGATGCAGATACAGCATCTGAAGGGCAGAACGACCGCTTGTTGATACTTCATCGAGTGCTTAGAGGTTCCACAGGTTCCAGGAATTGTGTAGAGTGCCTTTCGAAGCCTTCGAAAACAGGAGAGACCAAAGGAGGTGTGTTCTAGCCTACAAGCACATGCCTATCCACAAGCAGGATCATGCACGAAAGGCCATATTTTGCAGAGGCCGACTTCGCTTTGAAGATGCTGATGGAAGTGCATTGCGGAGAAGTGCGTTGTAACCAGGCGGCAGCTGGCTAGTGCTTCTTGAAAGCATTCTGTGTTGGGTTGCGAGGGCAAAAGATCTGTGGCAGAAAATCAGCGTTGCCAACTCCTCTGTACCCTGCTCTTGCCCAGGCAAAGACACCTTTGCTATCATTTTGTAGTCTAAGCTTTACGTGTTTGGCAGAAGAACCTATTATATTGCCTGCCTGAGTCAGATGTTTCCCCAATACATGAATGGGCGGTTCATAAAATAAGGGTTGAGGGAAGGTCTTGCATCCTCAATGTAGACCCTAGCTTTCAGCTTCTGAATTTTGAAGGGTCCAGCCATTGCAGAGAGTTGATAATCCTTGACAGGAAGGTGCTGGGAACAAAAACCTTTTCATTTTTGGATTGTCGATTTGCACAGAAGATGCATTTCAACCGTTTCTCACATGTCCAAATGATTGCGTTTTAAAAGTGATGCGCACCTGCCGTTGGTTTGTGCATCAAATGGAGTGTCCAATTTGTTCAACCCCTGTGACGAGAACAGCCGCTCTGTGACATGACATGGGTGGATATGAGTGGGGTGCTAAAGCACTTGCGCTGATGTGCACACACAGACACATGCATTGTGCATGTATGTCGGAGCTAGGAGCCTTGAGACATCTCGAGGCTGAAGCTGACCAGTGCCCAAAAGCGCCCGTGTAGTTAGCTTCAGGGCGTTCTGTTGGATTGTTGCTCTTCTTGATAGTTCCCATACCGATATTCGCCGATATTCTGATATTTTGATTCGTTGAAAGATGGTCAGAAAGGCTGCGCGTAAGTTCTTCAACACGTTCTAGTTCTAGGTACGAAAGCTTCCACAGCTCAAGTAGCATGCACAGAGTGCACTTCGATACCCGTAAGGGCAAACGAGAGGAAAGGAGATGTGATCTTTGAGCGTCTGCCGGCAGCAGCAATGGAGGCGTGTTGTCTTAGCGTCTTTCGACACCAGCAAGCTTTGGCGAGGCACACTGAACTTGAACGGCACCTAAATGCGACTGCCAAATCACATGCAGCATCATGCACAAAAGGTCATGTCTTGCAGATGCCCACTTGCATTGGAGAGAAGGGCATCGCAACTGCTACTGCTGATCCTTGAAAACAGTCTGTGCTGGGCTCAGAAGGCAAGAGAGCTGTGGCGAACGCTCAGTGTTGCAAACTCCTCTACGCTCTGCTGCACTCCTGCACGAGAAACTCCCTTTGGTGTCAGTCTTCCTATCTTCTACCGAAACTCCCGAAGAAAAACAACTCGCAATGAATTGGCTACATGTCCGCAGCCACACATATATAATATATATTGCTGATTCGTAAAATGAGTATTCACGCACGGTCTTGCACTGTTCATGCAGAGTTTGGCTTTCAGTCAATGTTGGTTGAAGATTTTGCCCAGTTTGCCGAATTAATGGTCTTTGAGAGGCAAGTGCAGGCAGCAATACACTTCTGGTCCTTCCCAGAGGGCAGCACGTGCCACAAAAACATGTTCGAATTGTTTGGCAGACATCCCTGACTCATGATGATGGCTGGGGCAAGTGAAACAGGTGAGGGCTGTGCGACAAGACACCAGTTAGCATGAAGATGGGCCTGAAGCCAGCCACTGATCAATGTACACATGCGGATTGACACTCACCCGTGTGGGTGGAGACTAAATGACTAAAGGCTATCGAGGCCCCCAAGCAGTCGCTTAGCGCCAGGAGATAGGTACAGTGCGTTCTTTGGGAGCGTAGCCTTTCTTGAAGACTTTTGTCCTTATTTTCTCCATCATTCCAAGATGGCGGATAGATCAACCCAAGGACGCAAAGAGAGCATGTTCATTCTTCAACAAGTGATGGCTCGTAGAGCTTCCACAAGTTCTGAAAAAGTACAGACTGTCCCTTTATACGCTTGAAGCGGGCGAGAGCAATGGAGGCGTGTTGCCTTAGCGTCTTTCGACACCAGCAAGCTCTGGCGAGGCACACTGAACTTTGAACGGCACTAAATGCGGCTGCCAAATCACATGCAGCATCATGCACAAAAGGTCATGTCTTGCAGATGCCCACTTGCATTGGAGAGAAGGGCATCGCAACTGCTACTGCTGGTCCTTGAAAATAGTCTGTGCTGGGCTCAGAAGGCAAGAGAGCTGTGGCGAACGCTCAGTGTTGCAAACTCCTCTACGCTCTGCTGCACTCCTGCACGAGAAACTCCCTTTGGTGTCTGTCTTCCTATCTTCTACCGAAACTCCCGAAGAAAAACAACTCGCAATGAATTCTGCTACATGTCCGCAGCCACACATATATAATAATATATATTGTTGATTCGTAAAATGAGTATCCAGGCACGGTCTTGCACTTTTCCTGCATGTTAGCTGACAATTCTTGTCGGCTCAAACAGGCATCGGCTTTTAGAGCGACAGATTTTGCGTTCGTTGATATTGAGGCAATAGCGGCCATGGTGTGAATCCAAATTCCTTTTTTCACATCGCGTACCAAGAAATACCGAGAAATACTCCAACACATTCACAGTGACGTGGCTCACATTTGTAAAACCAGCGCACCTGTCTACAAAACGCACGCAAATTTTCCCGGAAAGTGAAGTTTGGACCTTACAACATCATGGGAGATGCAAACAATTGTACTCGCAAAGGATGTATCAAGGGTTGACAGCTAACACCTCACAAGATCTCACAAGACTGCTTGGGTTTCAATCTATAACTTATAAACCACTGGCTCTACCAAGTTTTATAATGTTTCTTATTCAAGCGAAGATTGCATGACAAGCTAATAGTAACCACGCAGGACATGCAGCACATGACCCTGCCTGAGATTCTTGGCGATTTTGGTGGGGCACCCACTTGGAAGCTTCAGAATATATGCGCCAAAGCACCGCTTTTCTTTATCATTCGGTCACGACGTCATGTGGCGCATGTCCTTGCAGTCCGGAAGCATCCTTGTTTGCTTTGGCCCCTGGTCATGCCGAGAGAACGGCAATGAGCAGCTGGATTCTTGTCCCAGGTCCTTTCAAGACAATGAAGTTTGATTAGGATTTTTGATGGCTCGCATTCAAGAATCTGCGAGCGACACGGATTTTTTCAAAGCTCCCGAAAACCCAAGGACGTCTCTTGACAGCGCCTGTGGCATTTTAAGTTTCTGTCTTCCCCACTGCAGATTGTGGACACATTCGACAGGTTGCTTCTGCCAGCAGGGTTTGAAGCAGTGCTCACGTTGTCCTGTGAAAAACAACACCGGCCTATTGTGACAGGTTGTTGGAGATTTCGCGCTTTTGCATTGCGAGGAAAAAAAAGGCATGAACAGTTCTTACTTCTATGATCTTGGTGCTGAGAAAGTGTGGTTCTGCATTCTCAGGCGTTCTCAGCATACTTTCCTTCCCCGGCGTGATCATTCACCTTGCAGCGAAAAACCGCGCTCTTTGACCGGCGCAGCGAAGAGACAGGAAGCGCACGATGCGGCACTTGCGCTGTCCGCTGTGAGGCTCTCAGGCTGTGCCAAGACCGGCCGGTGGGACCCCGTGGGACCCCGTGTGACCTCGACGTTCTGAGATGGGCCGAGATGGGTCGAGACGGGCGCCGTGGTCAAGTGGCTGATGCCGGGCCAATTCACACGCGGTTCTGGTCCCTTGCCAAGACTGCAATTCTTGAGGTGAGCCAAAGATGCTAGTTTGAATCTTGAAACGATGACAGTTGTGTATCAGCCGTCAAGTGCGGTGCACTTGTCAGGTGACTCTGTATGACCAACGAGATTGCTTTGAAGCAAGCAAGCGGAGACTGGGATATCTCGCAGGCAATTGCAAGTGAGTTGAAAAGGCCGTGGAATCGAAAGGGGCGGATGTGGCGATCTTTGGGACTGGTAAAGGGCTCATCCCTTCCAAGTTGGTGCAACTTGTGGAGTTGTGATATATTTTTGTTTCTGCCGGTTGGAAAGGTTCTGGTCAGTGACTGAGCTGCCAAAAATTTCAGACTCAGCATGTTGCAATATCTCGTTTGCAATTCTTTTTCGCAAAGAAGTTTCGATGTGAGACCTGGATTGTTTGTGGCCGAAGAAATTGGAATCTGCAATTTCACCAGTAGATGCTGCAGAGACTTTCAGGACCAGCAATCTGTGGTTATCATTTCTTGCAGTTTGCCAGTGCGTCCTAGGTTTATTTTTATTTCAAGGAAGCTTGTTGAAATGGGTCCAAATTCTCCGCCACCACAACCAGGACGTTTTGTTTCATGTTGTGGACATGTCCCCTCTGTTCGTTTGTTTCATCCACTTCACGACAAACCTTGGAGCTTTGCCAACACCGTGGGGCTAGAGCTTTGTGCCACCGCATGTGCAATGGCGTTGCCAGCAGGCGCCAGAAGGCAAACGACGGTATGGTATTTTGATGTGTTTCTTGCAAGTACGTAGAAAGCCAGCCTTTTTTGAATAGAAAAGCCGTCTATACATGGTCATTTTCCATAGCAATGTTAATTTGCTGCAGGGCAAACCCTGTTCTGAAAAAAGATCGGCGTGGCACCGGACCGATTCGGTTTGGTTCGGTTCATATATTTCCGGTTCACCAACCGCAACTGCAACCGGAACGACAACCACAAGCACAGCAACAACCACAAACCAACAAGAACAACAAGAACAGCAAGAGCAGCAAGAACAACAAGAACCACAAGAAACACGCACGATAACCACAACCACAGCAGCAAAGGATCGCAAGAACAACAAGAAGACCACAATTGTTTGTGTTATTTTGGTGGTGAAATGCTGTAAATATCGCGCCAAACGACAGGTTGAAGTTCCAAAATGCAAAATCCAACGTCCATGTTCCAAAATATCGCAAATACCGCGCAAAACGAGAAACCAAATGTCAAAAACAGTGGAAACACCTCGCCAAATGAAAGATGGAACATCCAATGCGTTGCAAGTAGCAAGGAAAAACAGGGAGAAGAGGAAACCCAAAGAGTCTCCCAAACTGCAAAGAGTTCCTGAAACATTTTGTAAGGTAATGCAAATGTGATGTGATGTGATGTGACGTGATGTGATGTGATGTATGTGTTGCAATGTGTATATGTGTGCAAGTAGATGCAAGTAGATGCAAGTAGATGCAAGTAGATATGAAGAAAAGAGTCAAGTCACTGACAGCGATTGGACAAATACACGACAGAATGAGTCTCTGAGGATATTCTTCTTTGAGGTATATATCTCTGCTCTCAAGCAACTCACCACCTCTCAGCCACCTCTTCTTTTTGGCAACATTCATCTCTGAGTTATTTCTTCGGTGAGTTGAGATACCTGATCTCCGCTCCTTCTTCTCAGAGCCCTTCTGTGAGCCAATTCTTCTCCCAGCACAGCATGTCTACACTGTCTACACTCCCCGCGCAGTTGTGCAATGCGTTGAGCCACACATGGTCGGAATCCCGCAGGGCTTGTCCCCACATCCACAACAATCTCTCGAGCAGCCGTGTTGCACCATAGTGAACAAGATGCAGCCCACGAACCCGAATGCTCACACGTATGTCAATGGGTACAGATGTCGAAACACATGGAAATGCAGTCATGCAGAACACTTTTCTGAAACAGTTTATTTGAACAGTCTTGTACATATTTCCCCTGTTACCATACCAGCGCACTGTAGACTGTGGAATATGGAAGAAGGTGGCGTGCTAAGTGTGGAGTATAGAGTGTAAAGTGTAGAGTGTAAAGTGTGGAGTGTCAAGTGTAAAGTGTAAAGTGTGGAGTGTGGGGTGTAGAGTGTGGAGTGTAGAGTGTTGAGTGTAAAGTGTGGGGTGTAAGGTGTGGAGTGTAAAGTGTAGAGTGTGTAAAGTGCGGAGTGTAAACTGTAAAGTGTGGAGTGTAAAGTGTAGAGTGTGGAGTGTAGAGTGTGGAGTGTAAAGTGTGGAGTGTGGAGTGTAAAGTGTGGAGTGAAGAGTGTAAAGTGTAAAGTGTGGAGTGTAAAGTGTAAAGTGTGTAAAGTGTGGAAAGTGTGGAGTGTAAAGTGTAGAGTGTGGAGTGTGGAGTGTGGAGTGGAAAATGTAGAGTGTGGAGTGCGGAGTGTAAAGTTTAAAGTGTGGAGTGTAAAGTGCGGAGTGTAGAGTGTGGAGTGTAAAGTGTGGACTGTGGAGTGTAAAGTGTGGAGTGAGGAGTGTAAAGTGTAAAGTGTGGAGTGTAAAGTGTGGAGTGTAGAGTGTCAAGTGTCAAGTGTAAAGTGTAGAGTGTAAAGTGTAGAGTGTGGAGTGTAAAGTGTAGAATGTGGAGTGGGTAGTGGAAAGTGTAGAGTGTGGAGTGTGGAGCGTGGAGTGTAAAGTAAGGAGTGTGGAGTCTGAAGTGCGGAGTGTGGGGTGTAAAGTGTGGAGTGTGTAAAGTGTAGAGTGTGGTGGAGTGTGGAGTGTGGAGTGTGTAGTGTGGAGTGTGGAGTGTGGGGTGTAAAGTAAGGAGTGTGGATTGTAAAGTGTGGAGTGTGGAGTGTGGAGTGTGGAGTGCGCAGCGGGTAAAGTGTAGAGTGTGGAGTGTGGAGTGTAGAGTGTGGAGTGTGGAGTGTAAAGTGTGGAGTGTAGTAGAGTGTGAAGTGTGGAGAGTAAAGTGTAGAGTGTGTAAAGTGTAGAGCGTGGAGTGTAGAGTGTGGAGTGTGGAGTGTAAAGTGCAGAGGATGGAGCGCAGTGTAAAGTGTAGAGTGTAAAGTGTAGAGTGTAAAGTGTCTAGTGTGGAGTGTGAAGAGTGGAGTGTAGAGTGTCCAGTTTGGAGTGTAAAGTGTAGAGTGTAAAGTGTAGAGTGTAAAGTGTGGAATGTAAAGTCTGGAGTGTAAAGTGTGGAGTCTAAAGTGTAGAGTGTGGAGTGAGGAGTGTAAAGTCTAAAGTGTGGAGTGTGGAGTGTAAAGTGTGGAGTGTAAAGCGTAAAGTGTCGAGTATGGAGAGTAAAGTGTAGAGTGTGTAGTGCGGAGTGTCAAGTGTGGAGTGTAAAGTGTAAAGTGTGGAGTGTGGAGTGTAGACTGCGAAGTGCGGAATGTAAAGTGTGGAGTCTAAAGTGTAAAGTGTAGAGTGTGGAGTGTAGAGTGTGGAGTGTAGAGTGCAAAGTGTGGAGGGTAAAGTGTAAAGTGTGGAGTGTAAAGTGTAGAGTGTGGGGTCTAAAGTGTGGAGTGTAAAGTGTAAAGTGGGGAGTGGGGAGTGCCGTGCGCAGAGTGTGGAGTGTAGAGTGTGGAGTGTAAGTGTCAAGTGTAAAGTGTGGAGTGCAAATTGTAAAGTGTGGAGTGTAAAGTGTAATATGTGGAGTGTAAAGTCTGGAGTGTAAAGCGTGGAGTGTAAAGTGTTGAGTGTAAAGTGTAGGGTGTAAGTGTGGAGTGTAAAGGGTGGAGTGTGGAGTTTGGAGCACGCAATGCGACACGTCTGGAGCGCTGCGCGTGCCACGCAAAATGACGACAGAGATCTCCAAAATGCTGCGCCTGCCACGAAAACTGCAACTCATCTTGTGAGAACGACGCAAAAGTACTGCGCTTGCCACATAAAAACGACCTTCGACACGTTGTCAAACAGGTTGGAATGTCACAAAGTGCCGCGCCTGCCACGCAAAAGGCTGCTTGGAAACCTTTGAAAAGGAGAGGTTTTGCAGCTTCCCCCATAGACACGGCGAGACGAGACACATGGGAGCATCGTGCGAGATTTCCTCACTTTGTAGCTTCAAAATCGACGTTTTCCTACGAGTTTTCTTAGGAACCTCTAAATTTGCTACCTCAAAATCGATGTTTCGTGCTGCCACGGAATTTGCATCTTGTCGCCACTTGACGCAGCCCTGACAATGCGATTCGCAAAAAACACGCGACACGACACGTCTGAAGTGCTGCGCCTGCCACGCAAAATGACGCTGGACACGTCCAAAGTGCTGCGCCTGCCACGAAAACTGCAACTTATCTTGCGAAAACGTCGCAAAAGTATTGCGCCTGCCACACAAAACGATTTTCGACGCGTGACAAAACACGTCTGAATGTCACAAAGTGCGGCGCCTGCCACGCGAATCGAAGCAACGCGACG